GTGTGATGGGAGGGGATGGGAAGGGGAAACAAAGGAGGAGGCAACAATGTTTGACAAGAAACGTACTCATTATCTTGCCCATGTAATTGTAACCTCTCTATATGGTACTTTCAAAATAAAAAAAAACAATAAAAGCCATATATGACATACCAACAGCCAATATCATCACACTAAATGGGGAAACACTACAACCATTTCCCACTCTCTTCACTCCTCATCAATATAGTTCTGGAATCCTTAGCCAGAGCAATAAGGTAAGAAAAATACATTAAAGGAATCCACACAGGGAAGGAAGAAATTAAACTATCCTTATTTGCAGATGACATGATCTTATACCTAAACAACCCCAAAAACTCCACTCCCAAATTCCTAGAACTTATAAACCACTCCGGCAATGTAGCAGGATACAAAATTAACCCACAAAAAATCAGATGCTTTTTGTATACCAACAATGTACAGGCAGAAAGGGAAATCAGAGAAATAACCCCATTCACAATAACCTCCAAAAAATACCTAGGAATTAACCTAAGCAAAGATGTAAAGGACCTACTTCATGAAATCTACAAAAACCTAAAGAAAGAAATCAAAGAGGAGACTAGGAAATGGAAGGACCTCCCATGTTCATGGTTAGGTAGAATCAATAGGTAGAATTTTGAAAATGGCCATACTGCCAAAAATGATATGCAAATTCAATACAATTCCCACCAAAATCCCAATGACATTCTTTACTGAAGTAGAGAAAACAATCCCAAAATACATAAGCAAAAATAAAAGGCCGAGAATAGCCAAAGCAATTCTAGGCAAAAGAAACAACACAGGAGGTATCATGATACCAGATTTCAAGCTCTACTATAGAGCCATAATAACAAAATTGGCACAAAAATAGACCTGAAGACCAATGGAATAGATTAGAAGATCCAGAAATAGAATCACATACTTATACTCCACTGGTATTTGACAAAAGAGCCAAAGGCATACAGTGGAAGAAACACAGCGTCTTCAGCTATTGGTGCTGGGAAAACTGGGCGGCCACATGCAGAAAGCTAAAAGTGGACTCCAGCCTGTTACCATGCACTAACATCAACCCAAAATGCATTAAAGACCTCAACATCAACCTGAAACTCTGAAACTACTGCACGACAGAGTGGGAGAGACACTAGAGCTCAGAGGCACAGGCAGGAACTTCCTGAACAGAGTCCCAGGGTCACAACAAATTGGAGACAGACTTGACAAATGGGACTACCTTAAAAAGTTTCTGTACAGCTGAAGATATAGCTACCAAACTAGAAAGACAGCCAACCATTTGGGAAAAGGTATTCACCAACAATATATCAGACAAAGTCCTAATGTCCATTGTATACAGGGAAGTCAAGAAACTAATCCCTCCCAAATCCAACCAATCATTAAATGGGCAAGGGAGCTAAAGAGAGATTTCTCAGAAGAATAGATAAAAATGCCAAAGAAACACACAAGGAAATGTTCATTGTCCCTGGCTGTAAAGAAAATGCAAATAAAAACAACCCTGAGATACCTACCACCTTAACCCAGTCAGAATGGCCCACATCCTAAATTCAGCCAGTGACAAATGCTGGTGGGGATGCAGAGAAAGAGGAACCCTATTTCACTGCTGGTGGGAATGTATACTAAAACAACCACTTTGGAAAGCAGTCTGGAGGATCCTCAGAAACTTAAATATAGACCTTCCTAAGACCCAGCCAAACCACTCCTAGGCATCTACCATGAACAACAGGAACCAGGATTCACAGACACCTGCACCTCCATGTTCACTGCAGCACTGTTCACAATAGCCAAGATGTGGAAACAACCCAGATGCCCCACTACAGATGAATGGATCCAAAAAGTGTGATACCTATATACAATGGAATTTTACACAGCCATTAACAAGGAAAAAATAATGGTATTTTCAGGGAAATGGATAGACCTAGAACAAATCATGTTGAGCAAGGTAAGCCAAAATCAGACTGACAAATAGCACATGATCTCCCTGATATGCAGATATTAAAATCTAAATGCAAGGAGCTATGACAAAGTAAACAGAACTCAAGAAACAAACAAACTTCTTAATGTGTCATATCATTTCTAGCTGACTCCATGTTCTTGA